ATGACATTATTTGGGACCACAGCGCCCCGACGCAGCTGGACACGAAGCCCCGGGGGCAAACTTTACTGGGCTGCTTCCATGCACGCTGCACTGAGGGGCAAGGGAGACAATTCCTACCGTAATTTTTTTTTTTTTATGGTGGCTTAAAACATTAGGCATTTATTTTTCTCAACAAGTCTTGAAGACACTAAAAAGTTTTTACTTTTAGTATCAATTGGTCACGTATCTAGGAGATGATTAAAGGATTTATCAAAGTCACTGCATAATTTATATTTCTCCTACAGATTTTTAGAGGCTTTTTTCCATTCTTTACATCCACTTCTCTACAGTTAGTATATGCTTATACGCCTTCAAGATTGAGAGTTCACTGAAATGTTTTCCTCGTTTGTAACAAATTATTTGCCTACAGTCTGTCTTTTGTACCAGGCTGTCAAGATAGGAGCAGGGACCACATCATTTATTCATTGATACATCCTTGGTGCCTAATAGGTAATCATTGCTCAATAATTATTTCTTAAATAAATGAGTGAGTGCCTGAGGACAGGCCACTTAAATGTCATTGCTGTGTTTTTTTGTTTTTTGTTTTTTTGTTTTTAAGTGAAGTAATCACTCACCCAACGTGGGGCTCAAACTCACAAACCCAAGATCAAGAGTCACGTGCTCCTCCCACTGAGCCAGACAGGCGCCCCTGTAATTACATTTTTACCAGCATAGGGGCAAGCGGCTAAGTAGGTATCTGCCAAGTAATAATGCTTTCTTTTTTTTTTTTTCCCAGTTATAAAGTTAATGTAACAGTATCACAAGAAAAGTTGAGAAGTGGAGAGCAATCATATTTCAATAAAACTCAAGTATTATTTGGTGTATTTCTTTCCAATCTCTTTTTAGATGTATGTTTTACATGATTATATCTGATAGGTACATTTTTACATAATTATTTTCCAAATTCCAAATTCTGCTCTTTTCACTCAGTAATAAATCACAAGCCTTTTTTTGTGATATTACAGCAACTTCAGATCCATTAGTTAATATTGCTGCTTAATGTTCCATTGAATGGATGTACGAAATCGACATAACACTTTGCCTATTGATGGACACTTAAGCTGTTGTCAATTTTTCCTCTGCTATAGTGAATATTTATTATGCACAACATTTGCCATGTGTTTAGATTATTCTCTCAATTACTAAGAGAGCCTGACTAACACAAGGGGTAGTAATTGGTTTGAAGGAGGATCACCCATGCTTGTATAGTGTCTTTGGATAATCCACCTAATTTGCTTTGTCATCCAAAATTTCCCCCAGAATTTTTCTTGATCACCATAAACATCTGCTTACGCACAGCATTAGATCTGGCCACAGCTGCAGGCCTTGGGTAAATGTGCAGATTGAGTCACTGAATCTTTCCCAGAGTCTTTCTTCTAAAATGAGAGACACATTATACATTCCCTGTCTTATTTCTTCATTCTCTTTCCTATCTTGCTTTCATGGTCAATCAGTTTTAACAAAGCAGGAGATAAGAGCTGACAGGGAGAACGAGACGGGGTGGGGAGAGTGGGAGGGATGGAGGGGGAGAAAGAAAGAGAGGGTGTGGAGGCATGGGGGGGTGGTGGAGAATGGTTCAAAATGCTAAGTCTGTTTCTCAGAAGGTTTTGTTTGTAGTTCTAAGTTATAGGGACTGAGGAAATGAACACAGAGCCTGGATATGGACATGGACATTCTACTTTATTCTCTCTTCCTGCATTCACTTGCCGCTATGCATTGTGGGTGGAATGGACTGACCTTGGCCTTATCTGGGTGGTTCTGATCCCATCTTCCTTGCCATTGTGATCAGTTCTGGGATGGGTCCAACTGGAACAAGTCGAGCACTTCACTTTAATGGTTGAGTGAAGTTAATGTCTCTCTCCTCGGATGGGAATGAAGAAGCAGGAAATCAATGTTGCTGCTACCTGCAATTAGAAAGGAAGCCACCGTGAGGACAGAGTCATCACTTAAAGGTGGAATGCAGAGAAACGAAGGAATGGGGGTGGAGCTCTTGATGGACTGTACTTAAAAATTTGTTCTGCTTCTGGAATTTCCGAATACATGAACTGCTACATCACCTTGTTTAAGCCATTTGAGGTTGATGTTTTTGTTGCTTCCACTCACAATTACCTGTACTGTTGCAGAAGGACTGGCATGACTGCTTTATGATTGCTATCTTGCCAAGTAATCTTACTGTGGCCCTGTCCCAGAAGAGGGGTGACGGTGGCTTCTGTCCTAGAATGGGATGTTCTCTCCAGCACAGGAGGCCTGCCACAGAACTTCTGGACCTGCTCTTCTCCCACTTTGTGTTCTCAGGCCCTGGACACAATGATAGGTGGCATTGCCATTTCTGAAGACAGGACTTGCAACTTTCAGATAGTGGATTTTTTTTTTAAGATTTTATTTATTTGACAGAGAGAGACGCACAGAGAGAAAGGGAACACAAGCAGAGGGAGTGGGAGAGAGAGAAGCAGGCTTCCTGCTGAAGAGGGAGCCCGATGCAGGGCTTGATCCTAGGACGCTGAGATCATGACCTGACCCGAAGGCAGTCACTTAACGCCTGAACCACCCAGGTGCCCCTCAGATACTGTATTTGCAAGTAAATGTTCTCCTCTTAAAAAGGTTTTATAACTACCAAATGCCAAGGATATGGTTTGTGATGATTTATAGTAGATAATATTTATATAATTTAACATAGACATATTTTATTTTAAAACTGTACAATAGAATTTATAAACATATGAATAATATATCAAATAGCAGAGGCACAGAAGCTGTAATTCTGAGGCAGAAGCAACTAGGACAACAGCCCCAGGCTATTCAGGGATGTAGGTCCAAAGGCTAGGAATTTGGAACCACAGGGCAAGCTTGGAGCGTTTGTTCTTGGAGGTGAAAAAAATTGTGTGTGTGGGTGTGCATGAGAAACGGCAATGAAAACTCACAGTTCTCCTGCCCTTCTCCATCTCCCACTCCCATTCCATCCTTTCCCCATTACTAGCTCTCACCTTACTCAGCTGGTTGTTTACAAAGAGAGATTCACATGAATGAAGTTGTAACCGAAGTGAGACTACCTGTCTAGTTTAATTTTGTCTTAAAGTTAATGTTTTAAGAGTTAATGCATGTTATTGGGTGACTGTCCAAGGTGTTATTCCTGTGATGGAGTAAGTCTTCCTCTGGTATTTTTTTTGCAACAAACTGACTCTAGCAAAAAATGGCACTGCTGATGATAATGCTTCTGAGTGGTGACTCCCAAATCAACAGGGCTCCCCTTTGGGCCAGACAGAATGGTGTTCCTTAATCAGAAAGATTGTTTTGACCTCTTTATTGATGGAATTTTCTCTGTTAGTGCAAGATATGGAATTCAAACCGAGTTATATAGAGAGCAAAGGAGAGGAACAGAGGGAATGGTTTGAATTCACCAGGTCTCTCTACTTTTCTCCACGCCGGGCTTCACTTTGCCTTTTCCCAGCACTAACTCTGACCTTTCTTGGTTGTTTGGTCTTTGTCTTAGAGATTCAGATGATGATTTTTTAATAGGGCACAAAGACCCAGCTATATTATTCTCAATTTCACACTATTTATAACAGTATTTCCCAAAGGTATTCTGTAGGATGTTTGATTATTTTTTTTTCTGTTTGCTTATTCGTGTATTCATTCATCTAATAAACATTTATTGAGTACCTGTTATGTTAGGTGCTGGGAATGCCAGGCACTGGGTGATCAAACCTCAGGGTCCCTGGCAGTAAACTGGAGAAGACACATAGTGACAAGGAAGCCAGCAAATATGTAATTACAGAGTATGAAGGAAGTGAACAGGGGGATGGGCTAGGGAGGACTTACGGAGTGGGTGGAGGAGAGAAGTATATATATTTGGATCATATTTTGTAGGTAGATCTATGAGAGAAATTTCATGAAATGGTTATGAGAGAGTGGAAGAGAGAACTGGGCATGATTCCAGGTTTCTGGCTTGAGCAAATGGAATAAATACAGATGGGATTTAATAAAATGAGGAAAACAGGTTTTTTAGAAAAATCAATGATTCACTGTTTTCTTGTTGAGTGAGATGAGAAATGTCTAAGCGGAAGTATTTATAGAGTTGCCATAAATCCTGGTTTGTATATAAGCAGGGCCTGCTTGTGCTGATCATTTCAATGTAATTATTATTATTTTTTTCAAATCTTCAAAATAGTCTTTATTCTACATTTTTAGTGTAAAAAATCCACAAGTTAAGTGCACCACAGTGTAGAGAGAGACATACAACGCTGAACTTCCGTAACAGTCAATGGTACAGTCAAACATCACATGGACAGAACACAAAATTTAGATGAACTGAAATTATAAGATAAAATAAAATAAAATTCAATTTCAGAAAACAAAAATCAAAATATTAAGGATCCCTGAAATATTCTTAACCCTAATGAGATTTTACTGGACTCAAGTCATTTTGTAGTGAGGGACTCATAATATGACCCCATTAAACCGGCTGAGGAATTCTTGGGAGCCATGAAGGCCTACATGAGATACTCTGACAATGAACGGTAACCAGTTTTTGGGTTGCGAAAACTTCCCCTAATTTGGCTCTAATGTCATCAGGCTTTTGAAATGCATCCTCCTCCTTGCCCCCACATTTTTAAACAAAACTGTTTACAGTTTGCATTGATACCCTTGGTTCAAATAGAGCTCTGTTTTTCTGGCACCGAAGCAAATTGGAGTTTGGTTCACAGACGAAGAAACAACCTGTAAGGAGGGTCTGAGGGGCACCCTCCACTTTTGCCTGAGGAGATGCAAAAGCAGAAGTAATGGGGCCTGTGCTTGGGGCACAGAGGGGGTTTCAGAGGATCCTTGTGAAAGACTAGTTAAAAGATGGCAAGTGGGGACAAGTGCAAGGAGAGATGGAAGTTAGTCTGACTGGCTTTCTGTCCTGCACCATTGATTCAATGGAGATTGGAGGGAAGGAACTGGAAGACTAGGGGTAAGGGTGCGCCATGGGGCAAAGGAGGGAAAGGCAGACAACTAATGCATTTCATTTATAACAAGTAATAGAAATCAAAGACTTAAAGGAGATTAAAGACCAATCAGAATAATTTGGCAACTTTAATTCTTAGGAAGATCAAAGTTCCTTCCAAACCTAATTTGATGTTTTATTACTAAGAGCGAAGACCAGTATGGTACAGTAGTACTCCAGAGGAATTAAAGGAAGATCCTCAGGGCTGCTTTACCCACATTCATTTTATGAATGGATGCCTCCCCTACCTCAAAATGCTTTAAGGAGTTACTGCTACCATAACATGGTTCCTTATTAAGTTTGAAAAGTGCCTGAAAGTTTGGGCACCAGAAAGACACCCCAACAACATGTGTCTAAACTGCAACTTCAGGTTAATATGACTAAAGCAGTTACATTGTGAGAAGTGCTGAAGGTATGTGATGTCTTTCCCCGCACGGAGGTGACCTTGGTTCTTCACCAGATGGTGTAGCCACCATCTGAGCCACCCATGAAGAAGTTTCCCTTCTGCTGAGTTACGAGGACATTGGCTCCCTGTACGACTGCAAGCTGAGCGGCGTTGGGAGGGCATCCAGGGGGTGGAGGAGGAATGTTGCCAGCAGTAGCCCCAGCTCCAAATCTGGCACCTGCATCATACCCTCTTTCCACCAGCACGGCTGAACCAGGCGGATAGATTGGACCAACTGGATAATAAGCCATAGGGATTGTAGAACCTAACGGTCCAACAGCCACAGACTGGGTCATGGGAAGATACAGTGAGGCGCCAGGAAATGCAGCAGACATGGTGGGGACTGTGGCGGCCCCGGGGTGCACGAAGCTTGGATGATAGAGCTCGGAGTAGGCAGGTGGAGCATCAGTATAGGGTGGAACCTGAGGAAGATGCAAGGTCTGAGGGTACACGGGATTCCCAGGAGGCTGCAGAGGGTAGGTTGGCTGCATTGGATATTGATCTTTGCTGTTCATGGTGGCTGCTGGTCCCGTTTGGCTCCGCGTCGCGGACGGTTATTTTTTTCGTCCTCTTCCTGTTCGTAGTCATTTGCGTGTCACGTGACGATTCGTCCTCCCAGTGTAATTTTTTTTTTTAAAGATTTTTTCTTTGTTTATTTGAGAGAGAGAGACAGAGAGACAGAGAGAGGGTGGGGGGAGGGGCGGAGATAGAACCTCAAGCAGACACTGCACTGAGTGCGGAGCCCAACGTGGGGCTCAATCTCAGGATCCTGAGATCATGACCTGAGTTGAAATCAAGAGTCAGACGCTAGACCAGCTGAGTCACCCAGGCATCCTTATTCCAATGTAATTATTAATCCTGTTCCTTCTTATTCTCAAGAATCCCGGTTTGTGCAATACATTACAGGGTGTTGTATTGTAAGACTAGATTTGGTCAACTGGAGAGGTGTGATATTGTTTATAATAAAAAATACATATTGGTCTCCCACTCTATTTCTGGCACAGAGCTCCTAAAACATTTGAATTTCCTGAGTGGTAAGAGTGATAAAGATGTCTTGATATTCTCTAACAAACCCCTTTTAGGCATACCTGAGTTTACATCGATAAGGTAATTTTGGAGAGCAGCTAAGGATGGGTCTGTTTGCTAGGGGAATCCCCAGGTACTTAGGGGTTTGGAACTTTCAGTCCCCTCTCCTCCCTGACCAGCATATGAATTTAGAGCCTAGGTCATGTGCAAGGACTCCTTCATTCTTCTAATACTCAAATAACTATTTGTTGAATATTTGAAAATAATTATTTTATTTTAGTAGCATAAAAACATTATACTATAGCTACTATTAATCTGAATTTTATATAGGATAAAATCTAGGGTGAGCAAGGTCTGTGACACCCTCCTTTAAGTAATGTTGCTTCTGTACTTCCAGCCCCACTATGACCCAAGTGACTTGTTCTTCTTTCTAACCTTTAGTGGGTGGCAGGAGAGGAGCGATAGCCATGCTTTCATTGCACTGAAATTTAGAGTATTAGCTTGAGTGTCTGATGGGATTTCTCCTTTGGGAGCTCTCCCACAGTTTGATCTTACTGTTTGAGTATTTTTTTTTAAAGATTTTTTTTTTTTTTTTGACAGACAGGGCTCACAAGGGGGGGGGGGGGGGGGGGGGGGGGGGGGAGCAGGCTCCCCTGCTGAGCAGAGAGCCCGATATGGGGCTCGATCTCAGGACCCTGGGATCATGACCTGAGCCGAAGGCAGAGGCTTTAACCCACTAAGCCATCCAGGTACCCCGAGTATTCTTTTTTTTTTTTTTTTAAATGTTGTTCTATTATTATTTTTTTAAGATGTTATTTTTAAGTAATTTCTACACCCAACATGGGGCTCGAACTCACATCCCTGAGATCAAGAGTTGCATGCTCTACTTACTGACTGAACCAGCTAGGCACCCCTAGTGCTTGTGTATTCTTTTTTTTTTTTTTTTTTTTTTTTTTGTGCTTGTGTATTCTTAATTTGAAAACCAACTCTTATATTCCAACAGTTATGAGTGTGGTAATGCAGAGACTATGGCTTTACATGTGAAATCTGAATTCACATGTGAATCTGGCCCAGAAAATCAGATTTATTGTCCCTGAAAGTAGAAGGAACATTGAATTGAGAGAGGATATCTGGGCTTAAATCTCAATTTTGCCACATAGTTTCTCAGTGGCACTGGGTAATTCACTCAAGTTTGAGCCTGTTTCCTGATCTCTAAAATGAGCTTACTAATATCTGCTCTTTCTAACTTACAAAGATTTCTACAGATTAGATTAGGCAAACCATGTGAGAGTACACGGATATGCAAATTTAAGTGACACAACTTCTTTCCTTAAAAGAAATATTTTGAGTCATCCCTTCATGTTCTGAAAATGAGAATAAAGGAAATTCATCTATATCCATGCAAGTGGCCTGATACTAATGTTAGGAATCTGGGGCAAAGTAGAAAACACAAAGAATGATATACAGAATTTCAATTGCTTAGAATTCAACTAACCCAAACCTTTAATTAATCAGGATTAGCTTTTAAATTTTCTGATTCTAAACCCCAGAAGAAATTTCTTCGATCTGTCTTATGATTCATCCCATGGTCCACCCATCTACAGTGCGTCACAGCGGGTAAGTGTGAGGACGATGTTGGAGGGAAATGTGGGATGAAAGGGTCCTTGATGACACAGATGCACTGCGATCTTTACTTACTCTGGAATCCCCTGCCCCTAGACTTTGTTACATGAGATTATAGATTTCTTTATTGTTCGAGGCTCCTTCAGTTGGGTTTAACTATTATTTGCAACCCAAAACATGTCAATATATTTGCCTCTACTCATTTTACATGAGATAATCTTTATTCTCGTTGAAGATAGGCTTTTATGAATCTTTGATCCCTTCCTCACTAGAACTAACACCCAAAGCCACAGATCTTCCCAGAAGCAGCACATAGTAGAAAACATAAAAACAAAAGTTCATTCTAGAATCAGAAATTTGTCTCCCCACTCACTTCATCTATTCTGTTGAACTCCTGATAATTGACTCTGCTCGCCTGAACTTGGGTATATCTCTGCTTTTTTTTTTTTTTTTTTTTTTTTTTTTGCCTCTGCTGCTGATTTGAGTTTGGCCATATATTGTCTAAACCAGGACAGTCTTTACCTATTTTAACCTCATCTTCTCCTACCTTCTCACTTGTATTTGGCCCAGCTCCTCTTTTCTTTACTAGATAACTGCATAATTACATATTTCATCCCTGGGAATCGTACCTATCCTTACTCAAGCAAAACAGGAAATTATCATTCTAGTGTTTTCATGAAGCTATTAAAAATTATGGAAATTTACATGTGAGAGCAAATGGCATCGAAGTCTAGCAGGGTACCTCATTTCCCAAGTCACATGGTAGATGATGGCAGTGCTAGATTCAACCCTGAGTCCATCTGTCTCCAAGTCTCTTTGGCTGCTAGTCATCATGTTTTTCATTTCTTACTTTCAAAACAGGAATAAAATCATACTGAACTTGAAAGAGAAGTCTTATTTAATTTCTTAAAAATCTAAACATACACTTACCATATGGTCCAGCAATCACACTCCTGGACATTTATCCCAGAGAAATGAAAACTTACGTTTTTACAACAACCTGTATGTAAGTGTGCAGAGCAGCTTTATTTTTAATAGCCCCAAACTGGAAATAACTCAAATGTCCTTTAGTGTGTGAGTGGTTAAACAAACTATCCATCCGTAACACGGATGTTACTCAATAAAAGACCAATGATACATACAACAACTTGGACGAATCTCCGGCATTATGCGGAGTAGAACAAGCCAGTCACCCAATGTCAGGTATTGTATGATTCCATTTCCATGACATTCTCTAACAGAATTACAGAGGTAGAGCACAGATTAGTGGTGGCCAGGAATGATGATGGTAGAGAAAGGGGAGGGTGTGTGTATCTATAAACTGGTAGCATGGAGGAGATATTTGTGACATAGTGTCATGTCTTGATTGTATTGGGGTTACATTAAGTCATATTTAATAAAATGACAACTATAGACCTACCTTATACCAACATCATTTTCCTGGTTTTGATGTTGTGCCATAGTTACGTAAGATGATCCCATTAGGGGTAAGTGGGTGAGGGTATTTGGGACTTCTTATGAATTGATAATTATTTCAAAATAAAAAGTTAAAAAAACTTTAACTCCCCTCTCCCTCCCTACCCCACTTCCCCAGTCCAGCTTGTCACTCAGCCAGAGACCAGTGTAGGGGTCCAGGACTGTCTCAAAATGTAGCCGGGTGGCATACCAATTATTTTTTGAGTTGAAGCTCCTCAGGGAAGAGCTGATGCAGGGACACTCAGACTCTCTTCTGTCCCCACTTAAAGCAGGAAATATATCTCCATGTGAAAAATACCTTCCTTCCCCCCCCCCCCCATTAAGGAGTAAAAAGATATCTTTACCACCAGAGTTAGGGACTTTAAAGCTGAGAGAGCTGTAGAAACAAACCTGATTACTTTTTAAAAAATCTACTATCTTGGGGCGCCTGGGTGGTTCAGTGGTTTAAGCCTCTGCCTTCGGCTCAGGTCGTGATCTCAGGATCCTGGGATTAAGCCCGGCATCAGGCTCTTTGCTCAACAGGGAGCCTGCTTCTCTCTCTCTCTGCCTGCCTCTCTGCCTACTTGTGATCTCTGTCTGTCAAATAAATAAATAAAATCTTAAAAAAAAAAAACACCTACCATCTCAGCTTAAATTCTTCTTAGAATTTCTTACTAATTAAAGCTCCCAAACATCTGTTTTCTTTATTCTGTCAACTCCTCACAGATTTATTGTCTCTTCATTTAAAATGTACGGAAACTGCCTGCCCTGGTCATTTCTTTGGGTCTCAATTTCACTATTGGACCTCCATATGTGTGTAATAAAACTTTGGCTTTTTTCTCCTGTTGGTCTGTCCCATGTCCGTTCCTAAGCCAGTTAGAAGAACCTGCGAAGAAAAAAGGAAATTTCTTCCTCTGGTACATTAGACTCTGTTCTTTCCCTTCTCCCCAAGTGTAAGTAGTCTTGGAGTCCTGTTCATCCGTTCTACTCGAGAGGATGTGTCTTTCTGCCTCCTCCCTGTGTCATACCCCCCAGCCTGACCTTCTGCTATAGTTCCCTGGTTGGCTTCCCATCCATCACCTATCTTTTACAATGCTGGTGACTTCGTTAAAATATGAGTCAGATCTTCTTATTTCCCTGCCCAAGAACCGTCAGTGGCTTCCTGATGCGCACAGCTTCAAATCAACTCTTGCTTGGCAAGCAAGAGTCTTCAGTTCCTGTTCTCCCCACTTTTTAAGAGCAATAAATCTGGGGGCGCCTGGGTGGCTCCGTGGGTTAAAGCCTCTGCCTTCAGCTCAGGTCATGATCCCAGGGTCCTGGGATCGAGCCCTGTATCGGGCTCTCTGCTCAGCGGGGAGCCTGATTTCCTCTTCTCTCTGCCTGCCTCTATGCCTACTTGTGATTTCTGTCT